CTCTGTTTCTCATTTCTGTATTACCTGGAATATCCAGTAGTGCTTTGGAATAAATTCTTTCCCAGCTCTTGTCTTTATTGCTCAGAAACAATTCATGTACACAAGCACAGTATTCACCACCACCACCACCACCCAGCCACAGCTTTTTTTCAGAAGCCCTCCAATCCCAGAGAACCTGTGCTGAAAGCCAGCGCTATTTGCTAGCATCTTTCAGTCCCAATTGAGGAGGACAAGTAAAATAAAACGGATCCAAGTATTTAAAATCAGATGGTGACAAAATTGAGGCTCAGTTCAGAAGCTGTGTGCGTACACAGAGGGATAGAGAACCAGATTGGAAACGTTTCCTCTTTTGCACAGGGCCTGTGCATTGATTTCTCTTAGTCTCAGGCCAATAAATTACAAATATTCATATTCCAATATTTCCATACTGTACCTTCATCCAGTTACTCAAGCATTTAGTACATGGAACACATGACAGAAATAGCCTCTTCTGCCCAAAAAACCTTAGATACTTTTCCCTGATTCAAATGAGGAGGTGCCGCAGCCCAGGCAGAGACCCCTGTAGCACTTGCTGTGTTCTGATGAGCACCCACAAGCTCACAGCCCTGCTCATGAAGCCATTTCACCCACAACCTGTGAGGGTTTTGGGCCATTCCATACCTCCCCAGACTTGGCTAACATGTATTTCAATGGGGTCCCCGGAGCTTCTGCTTGCACCTGTAAGGCAACTGTTATTTAACACCACACATCCGGACTGCTCAATTAGTGTTGTTCTCCCCTCTGTGCTTCCTTACCTGCAAGTTGTTTTCCTGGGCAGGATTTAACAGACTGTACATGACAGTAACCCCCTGCCTCGCCCACGGAAGCCTCAGTGAGCACCCACTGGTCATGTGTAAATCACCATCCCAGGGACACCATCTCAGGCAGGGTCAAGTGTTTCACATGAGATTCATTCCACGTGGTTTCTAGGCAGCATTCTGCCCACTCATTCCCTCGCTCTCACAGCCTTCATCTTCCCACCTGCATCAGCCTCAGGGAGCTGAGGCAAAAGGCAGATACCATGTAAACAGCAAACTAATGCAGGAGGGGAATTAACGGTGCACAAACTGGATTTTATTTACATGTCTACAATTTGAGCTTTAATATTCTGCACAACTCAACCAGACGGGACCCCACACTGTCCAGCGTACGCTGTGCTGGGGCCAGACTGACCCAGAAGGACACCAACCCCAACCCCACCGCGGCTGTGATGTTCAGCCCCTCTCACCCAACGCTTCCCTATTTCCATCCTCAAATTAAAAACACGGGAAATAAAACAGAACCATTTGTAACAACAGCAGAAAATGCTGCGGTGCCTCCCAGGGCCCAGTCAAGCAGATGCAGCCGTATTAGTGAGAGTTCTTACTTGGCAGTTCAAGAGAGATTTCCAGGATAAAACTCCCTCTTAGGCTGAAGAGCTGAGTAGCTGTTAAGTGGGAGGGTTTGCATTTATGTTTTTCTAACTGTAGCTCAGAGCTGAAGCACATCAGGCACCTACCCATCTGCAGCCAGTGGATTTCAGGTCTCTTGCACAGGTCTGGGTTTGTTCTTTTTTGAAGGCAAGCAAAAGCCTAACTGCAATCTCAAGTAATTCAGCATTTCTCTAGTAGAAGGAAAACCATTACTTAATTTTCCCATTTTGTGCGCAATTAACACCCTGGTTACGGCGACGTTTCTCTTACACACTAGAGAGGTCACGGTTTGTAGATGAGAAGGGTTTAAAGCCTTGTGCTTTTCACAGGATTTTTTTCCCTATCTTAAGTCTCAAGCCAGGCTCAGCATCTGTCCTGGGGGGATGCAGTGCATCTGCTTCGGGGGTTGTGTGCCAGAGCTGTGGAGGAGTGGGGTCAGTTTTGGTTGTGAAATTATCCAGAGCAGCTGCAGCAGCTGGAACACCCCTGTGCTGCAAGTGCTCCTCAGCCGCAGCACCTTCAGGCAAACACTCACTTCCCTGCGGCGCAGGCGGCGCGTGGGGTACCCACCAGCGGCCAGCCCCATCAAACAGTAGTCTCTGTCTTCTGAACAGTTCGACTGTGAAGGTGCCGGCATATGATGGCCTTCTCCCTTAGGTACCTGAGATGAGGCGAGAGAAAGCATTTCAGTAACACAGAACCGGAAAACAGTAAGACAGAAAATTGGACCCCAAATCTCCCGCGCTAGTCAAACGGCTGAAAGGTTCCCATGAAAGCTTTTCCAATAGAAAACAGCAACTGCTATTTATTGTTTTCTTCTCATTTCCTGGCCTCTTCCATGCCAAGAGATCAGATGGGCATTGGCTAACAGATCCCCAGCTGGCACAGCCTCTCATGCCTTTGACCTCAGGACCCATGTATGTATACTCAGAAACAGCAGCACACTTCTGGCTTGTACCTCCTGTGCATGGTGAGCTACGGCCAGGAGAGCTCGTGCCATTTATTACAAGTGACCTTTTAAATGGACATGGAGAATTTGGCACCAGTCCAGCTATGTCATGCCACAGCACGCACCGCATTTGTACTTCCCATGGAAATACACAGCAGCAAGTAGAGACTGAGGAACCAGTCTAAGGCTCACAAGTCAAACAAAGCAAGCAGAAGTGACCCTGAGGGTCCAAATTTTCTGGGTAGACCCCCCCATATGTATGTCATCAGTATTTATTCTGGAATCTTAATCAGCAACAGCTCCTCTGGGCATGCAGGGTACAGAAAGGATGACAAACCCCACCCAGTTCCTCTCCAGCAGTCACAGCACCAGGTTCTAACTGTGCTCTGCTACGTAAACGCGTTCACCTCTTGAGCCCATCCACAGCTGTAAATCTTGTTCCGGACTCAGAGTGACCCTGCACCTTTTACTTCTGTTCACCTTGCAATTGTCTGTTGAATCTCCTGTTGTTCCTCTTCATTTATCCTGTGCAGAATTGACTCCAAGAAGGGAAGATGAAATGGAATGTACTGAGCAACCTATCAGTAAGATGACAAGAAATGCCCATCAGTGAATACGCCAATTGGGAAAAACCCTGAGAGCTATCAGAACTGATGGCATACGTACATCACTGCTTATCTCCTCCACATCTCTGTCCATGAGAAAAAACTTGGCTATCTTCTCCGAGGGCCCCTGTAAGAGTCTGTGCAGCAAGGGAACATCCCCACTCCTCAGCTGCTTCTTTTCTGCAGTTTAGAAGAGATGTGGTGATGCACAGAACATAAACCAGCACCTCGAAATACTTGACGCAATCAGTAGTTGTCTTTTCTTGACAGAGTTGCTATTTGACTGATGTGCAATTAGGTACCTAACAAGTCTTTAGGAGACACTTGGAGGAGGTGGCACCTAACTTACACCATGTACTTTCAAAGTAACTGGTAGATGCAACATGAAGGAGTTGCACTTTAGGCAGCCCAGCAGGCATTTACGAGACTAAGCCCAGGCCCATCAGCTTGACCACGACTCCCTAAATGAAAACCTCCTTCATACTTGTCAAACAAAATTTCCACTGGGTATTTTGACATTTAAGGTCTATGCCCATCAGTTCTCTCCCCCATTCTTTCATGCAATCCTTTTAATAAAGGTAAAACTTCCTTTTTCCTAAAGGAATAGACTGTTGCAGAAGTACACACTTCGCACTGGAAGGACAGTTCAAGTAGGCATCTGCCATCCAGGACCACCACCCAAAAGTGTCAATTAAAATATGCCGTGACACTACCAGTGGGAGCCTGGCATCCCACAGCTGCCATGGGGCTGTGCAGAACAGGAGTTAGAGCAGAAGATGATCTTAAAGACAGCCTTAAATGCAGGAAACACCAAGGCCTGTTTTGCTGAACCAACCATACTGGCAGCACAGAGCAAGCACCCAGGACACAATGACTCTGTTCTCCTCCCCATCAGAGAGCCACATGTCTCCAAGGGGTCCCCAGGGGAGCCCAGGGCCACTCCATGCCCATGTTTTCTGCACAAGGGCAGATGCCAGCAACCCATCCTGTCACTGTCACTCCCGGCCCAGCAGTGCACACTTACCTCCGGACGCATGGATAATGTAAAGTGCAAATTCATGTGGGCTGTTTTCTATCTGTTAAACACAAACAAAACCAAGTCAGGTCACAGTGGCTGCTACACTTGCCCAGCATTTCACTGCCAGCAGATATTCCCTGTGCTTCTCAACTCAGGCATTTAAATCGAAGTCCGAGGCTGGGATCCTGCCTGCAGACACGTTACCAGATACTGGATTTGGGTGAGATAGAAAGCTACGCTGCTGTGTTCCCTGTCCCTCACCCCGCTACCTCACAGCTGCTTATATGACCACATCACCCAAATCAGGAACATGCCCTCTTGGACAACTCCAGGTCTTTACAGTCTTGTTTTGTTGGAGTTAACTACCTCAGACAACTACTTCAGATATTGACCAAGAGTGTCACCATCAGGGTAAAACCCTGCAAGCTCCTCCTATCCACTGTCAGAAAAAAGCGCTCCTTTTGCACGCCTGTTTTTCAACTTGGCCTCCACAACTTCACAAGCTGCTCTAATTCCTTTCCTTGTTATTCACAGAAGTCAACTTCTCCTTTTAGTATTATGCTACCACATCTTACAAACCACTTGAAGTCATTCCACAATAACAGTCTCTAGACAAGTTAAATGAAGAGTTATCAAAAATTGTGCATTAAGAAGCTATGCAGAATAAATATGTTGGAGCAGCACCCATGCTAAATAAACTTCTGCCCAGGTACAATCCTGTTCATGGAACACGGCACCAAACCAACTGCAAGGAAAGAAGTCCTTTCAGCCAGTTTGGCGCTGATGTTTAGCACCAGTTTTAACTCTGACTTTCTGGAGCTTTCCATGTGCCTGGACGTGACAGAACGGTTACCCCAGCCACTCGGGCTAGAAGAGAATTCCCTTTCATGTTGAGCTAAACACAATTTCTAGCGCCTGTCACTAGAGGGAAGCACGGCCATGTGCATGAAGCATCCTCTCCCCATGCTGGGAAATGCAGGAGGTGCTGCAGCGTTTTCCCTCCCTGTGCATGAGTTTGGTGAGAAGCCATTCCATAGATCTTCCTTCACTGCCCCCTAGACAGCCAAGGCACCTTTTCTGGACTCAAACAGCCATGAACATTTGTAATATCAATCAGCCCATTCCTTGAACATGGCCCGTGTGGTTTTTTCCACGTGCTATCCCCTCCTGGTGACTTCCTGCCTTCCACGCAGCACTGGTGTGACACTCAACATCCCCAGAGCGCAGCCACACTTGCTTGTGCAAACACGCAGAGTTACCTTAAACTTGCACAGCAATTGTTCGATTACTTGTCTGGTTCTCATCTGGCTGTTGATTCTTATTTTGGTTTCTGATCCGAAAGCTGGAGTAAAAACTGATGTCTAGGAACAAAACCAGCAACAGAAGGGCATGAGTATGAGGACTGAGACACTCCATGGAGGGGACTCAGAAGGACATAAGCCAGCACAGCTCTGCACAAAGCAAGCTGTCAGGTGTGCTGCCGCTGTTCCACAAAGCGAGGGGCAGGCAGTGTCCTCAGGAGAGCACCCCTGGTATGCAGAACCCTGTGGACCTCCACCGTGCAGCATCCGTGCACACTGGAAACCCACCTTCTGGAGCAGACCCTGAGAACAGACCCCAGGGTTGAGCCCAGGGCCCTGTGACTCCGGCCTGGGCACGCAGTGGGGCAGCGGGGACAGCCCCTCTTGGCCCAGGGGGTGCAGGGGAGCTCCAGAAGCTTGCTGGGCATTTTCATCTGTCCCAGTAGCCAGCCTCAGGAGGGAAGACAAGCATAAACATTCATACCTCGTAGTTGTAGAAGTGGCCATTAATGGAAAACCTCTGAGTTTGCACTTCTGTCCTCGCTATCGTGGGGAGCTTGGTCCTCTTCCGCACAGCCGCAGCATTGCTGACGGCCCTGGGCAGGGTAGCACAGTCATGTTCCTGCTCGCTCTTGGACTTCAGAGTGCGGCTTTCGTAACAGGAATAACCTGGACAGAATGAAACCACAGCAGCAGCATGTACAGCTGCTCTACCCTCCTTGCCAGCACCCCCACAGGAACAAGGCTCTTGGTGGAAGGATATTTTTTTTAATTATTTATTGGCGGGGGGGAGCGGGAGAGGAGCAAGGCATAGGCATACGGGGGAGAGCACCAGGCTGTCCGCAGTGGTTGCAGTTTGCCATTTTGTTCACTTCTTGGGAGTGATTTCTTTGGTCAGAGCACAGCCCGTGAGCACCAGCCATTTGACAAGTTAACTGCACGGAGAGGTTTTCACTCACAGGTCACGTGGCAGTGTTTTACCAGCATGTAATATTCATTAAGCACTGAGAGAAAGATTTCTCTTTACTGGTAGGGAAAACCCAATGGGTCAAATGATTTATGCCGTCGCAGAACATAGAATTTTTAGTGAACATAAGAGCACCGACACTAACTTTTCTCAAGGTCTGGCTTTTCTTCAGTAGATTTCAACGTCTCCCCGCTAATATGATGTAGATCATCAAATTCTCCCCAGCGTGTCATTCCCCTGAAACACCAAACATTTATAGCTGATTACTCTTCATGCACTCAGTGATTTCAATTTATCCTGAAGCCAGGCCTCATTAATACATTCCTATCCAAAATGTTACAGAACACGACTACAGACTTCACTGTGGTGTATGAGGCCAGTCATTAAGTTGATGTCATACTCTAATTAGTTAATAAAATGCAGTGCCACTAGGGATCCCAAACTTAACGCAACCCTATTTAGAGCCTGTTGAACATCGATCATGATGTCCCTTCAATAACTTGCAGTAATTTATCTGTTTTATCGCAAAGCCCTGCATTAATGGCACGCAGGATACCAGGCAGGCACACAGAACACACACGGCGGTCACGGGACACACCGTGTCTGTTGTATCGAGGGGGACGGGACAGACTCAGTTACCGTGCTACCCAAGCCAGTTCTGTGCCAGAGCAGGGAAATCCATCCAGCCTGTTTTAAATCCCAACTTGCTTTACGCCAGTATTTCCATAATTCATCACAAACTCTCTTGCAGAGCCTTTGGCCAGTTACTGCTCTGACTGAGAATAAACCAATTTGTAAGAAAACATTAAAAATTATTTCCTATATATATTCAAAACAAAATTCAACTAACTCCAATGAACACACCAAACAACCATCTCTGTTGTGTTCCATGCATTTTAAAAGTTCATTTAAGACCAAACAGTCAAGATGCTCTGCATACCTTAAAGCATGTCAGGGCAGCTTCACACTTCTGTGACTATGAATGAATATTTACTTTAAGATTCAGATCTCCACCAGCCTTAAGTTCTTTAAGAAATAACAGGCAAAGCATAGCTTCAACCGCCAGAGTGGACCCTATCCTGCAGGCCACACGCACCCCGTACCACCAGACCTGTTCAAGGTAACCAAAGCGAACCAGGTCTGCGTCAGGCTCGAGTTCCCCACCAGCTACTCCTGTCAGGTTGCATCCCTCAAGTTCAACAGGAGGAGACAGGGAGGAAGCCTGTCCCTGGCTTCACTGGAACTCCACAGCTGCAATGATGGGATAATCAAATCCACAACTCAAACATGTACCACACACCACCTAAGACAATGGATAATTAAGAACAGCTCTGAAATACAAATATAGAATTTACCAGGGCGTCATTTAGGGTAAATATTAGCTCAGCCTCCCTATTGCGCAGTACTCAGCTTCAGCTCATCAGATACAAAACAAAATTCACCAATCAAGGCTTGGGAAATAGTGTCCAAAACAGAAAAAAACAGAAATGCTAAGAGCCTACGCCAGATTCCAAAGGCAGGGCAAATGTAGCAGAAGTCAGGAGCACCATGCCCTCAGATATGCCACGTTACAGGCAGCAGCCTGAAGGAGCAGCTGATCCATGGGTATTTCTAAGGGGGTTTAACACTAGATTTTGCACAGACAAAGCAAGTATTTGTTCCCTGGCTTGAACTTGGCCCTGAGAAGCAACGTTGCCACCCCTGAAGCAGGGCAGGTAATGTGCAGTGGGCAATCGCTTTGCACTAACCTCCCAGCTTTTTGATTCGTGCTGTACCATGGGCACTGACATGAGGCCTTTCAGGGGCTACCAGCATTACTGGCTATTCAAATATAAGTGTGGGTTTGGGTTGGGGTTTTTTTTTGTAATTTTTCATCCCTAAATTACCCAGTACTGGCATGGAAATAGCCAGTATAGACAAGAGCAGCCTCCACCTTCTCAACTGTTCTTAAGGTGAAAACCAGACCAAGACGCAATGAAGATGCTACAAAGATGCTTCTTCCGGCCCATTGGGAGACCACAGCAGTTATAGAGTAGGGCTGCGCAATCAACCACCACAGCCTTCGGGCAATCTGGGATATACCATCAGCCATATGTGTTGAAGCCACCTACATGAGCTGTTTTGAAATACTAGCCTGCCTTCTTCTTGGGGAACTTCATACATTACCTTTTACTGGGGAACAAAGCCACGTTTTCTGTTGACTTCAGGGTTACAAAAGAGGCTATCTGCTTCTCATCCTGAATTTTTAATTGGATAGGATGTCGGACTCCCCAAAATATTGACAAGATTCCTTCAATAAATGGTTTGGAGCCTTCTCCCTGGGGAAAAAAAGAAATAAGTGCTGCATAATAATCAAGTAATAACAATGAATAATAATAATAATAATAATCAATTTCCCCTCAAGTAACAGGAATACAATGAAATTGCTGAGGCCAACACACAGGTCACCTACACAGGCTGTCATCTCCACACTTCATATACTCCCCAAAAAGCTAGCCAAAGCTGCAGCCAGCCTGATCTCCCATCAGCATTAGTCTGCCTTTGACCAGGAGGTTTTTGAACCAACATGTCCATGATTCCATACAATTTCAAGTCCTATCTTATTCCTTCTACGCAGATGACTAGCTCTTCTGAAACCAAGATGCTAAGAAGGTGGTAACAGGGAAGAACGACTGCTGGCAGAGGAAGCAGTAGCAAGTGAAGTCATCCTTGCTGACGCAGGGCACTGCATCGGTCCCAAACATGTCATTGGTCCCCATTCTTGCTGACATGGGAGTCTGTTGCCGCAGAATGAGCTGGGACAGAGAAGTGAGGACTACCCATTTTCAGACTATTTTTGCCCAGAATTGCTCTAATGACCTTTTGGGTCTTGATATCTGTTAAGCAACAGAAACACAGCTTGTGAAGGAGAAGGAAGTCCAGATCTCTAAAGCCAGGGACTCCATGGCATGAGACACACCATCCATGCTTTTTTCTGTCCTTCAGTTCCACAGACCCTTCTGGCCTCTGCAGAGGATGCATTCCTGGGGCTACGATTTTAAGTTCTCTACTAACAGTTCACATTCAAGGACACCATGGTACTCTCTCCCTGACCCGACTGACAGCCGTCCCACCACTGCACGCTGTGGGTTCAAGCTGAAGGGGCGGGGGGGAACAGCACCCCGCAGAAGTATTGGCAGTACTGCTCCCTCCCACCTAACCACGTAAGACTTGAGAGCTCAACCCAGCGAATGATTTCCTGTGGTACGCCACGGAATGGGATAGCAAGCAGAGCATGCTGTTGAAGACCTGAAACTCCCACTGGTCTGAACATACCTATTCCTGCTCTCTCCTCCTCACAGGATTTGACTCTAGCACTCGCTGTGGTGTTTTTATTGCAGTCATTATTCCATCGAATACACCACCACAGAACAGGTATCCTACACTATTAAACATCAGCGCCCATTAGTGCCTTTCCACTACTACATTGTGCTTTTTGTATTATTGTTGCATAGATCCTTACCTGATTATGTGACAGCTGCAGATTTTCCTGATCAGAATAGTAAGAGTTGTAAGTCTTCAGAAGAGAACTGAGCTGCTCTCTAGAAAGAAGACCACAATGAACACCATAGTTTTTAGACACCTCTATTGCTTTAAAATCCAGGTGCTAATTGCAGGGTAAGACCCAGTATCTGTCACCCACCGCATCTTTGTACAGGTTTGATAGTGATCAATACATCATTTTCTGGGAGTGAAATTTTGTCAGGTTACTGGGTTGCTTACAAGTTGTTTCCTTAAAGACCCGATGCACAGAGGAGTTAAGTTAGTCACAGTCTGATGAGACATGAATAACACTGCCACAGAGTAACCTGTACTTTGGACTTCTGTTATAGTCATGAGGGGGAAGCAAACAGGCACAACCCTCCCTGCACCAGTGTTACAGATTATTTTATCTAGGTCACCATTTGTTTTCCCCTCATGATTGTTTCCATTGTGTTTTTATATTTTTTCACATAATCTTATTTCAAAATATCTACAGTATGCCTAGACAAGACATTTCAGTTTCCTTCTGCTTGAATCACAGCAGCTTTGTGCTACATCTTTGCTTGGAGGAAAAAGTACGGAAATGAAGAGAACCTCAGCCAGCAAGCAAGGATTAGAAGCCCGGCCAGCATCTCCGACTTCCAAAAGAAATTCATGGCACAATTTAAAAAAGGCAGCGTAACATCCTGCTTTGAAAACACTACATTGAGGCAGGAAGGCAATGGGCAGCACACTGGTCCTAGTGACACTTCAAAAAACTATTCAACTTAACATTTCAGAACCACCACCGAGATAATTATGCCTGTCTCCATCCTCGATCAACTCAACACCACATGAGAAGAGGGTTTCAGAAAGCATTTCAAATTTGATAGCATTTCAAAATAACCCCATTAGAGCTACCGCACAGCCCGGTCTCCAGGCCACAGCCACCTCCTTCTTTGGGAAGAAAGAAATGTAGCAACTGGATTTTTTTTAACTGGGTGATTTCCAAACCTCCTAGGGAATTTCAGCAGATAGTGGACTACCCAGTATCCTGAAAAGCTGAGCAGCCTGTGGGTGCACAGGCAGCACCCCAGGTGGCTTAAAGTCATCGTGCAGAGCAACGCCAGCTCCGCACCGACAGCGGGTGCCAACGCCGCTCCCGCCTGAGCCAGAAGCAGCCCTGCTGGGGACAGCCCGCATGACTGGGGTGTCCATACAGCCCTTGTTAACCGCCAAGGGGCAATAAATGCCACGTTGCACAAACACAGGCTGGGGACGATTGCTGCGGCACCGGCACTGTGGGAAAGCACCTGCCGGTCACTGCTGAGCAGCTGCTGATCCCAACTCAGCAGTGCCACGCTGCTGCATGAGATACAACCAGATACCCATGGCAATGTCCTCCTCAGAGCAAGGCTGCTCAAGGCTCAATTTCGTCCAAGTGCTCTGCCTTCTTAGCACTGCTTTTGAAGAAGGATACACTCCAAGTTGGCAGAGTCCAAAGAAGAGCAGGGGGACTGATAAGTGGCATGAACCACGGAGACAAAAAGCAAGTTGCAGCTCAGGCTCATGAGGACCAATGAAAGAGAATTAAGTGATATCTATTCCAGGACCATCAACAACAAAACACTCTTCTCCACACCAATTAAACAAAGATCATTTAGATTGCAATTCCAGAAAGCCATTTCCACTAGTGGAGCTAATTAAGTATGGGAAACAATGGCATGGAAATAGATGAATTCATCCTCACAGACAATCTTTGAGCACTGAGATGTCTAACCATCAAAGTTGTCCAATGTCCTGTCTTGCAGTGGTGAGCAAAGACACCAAGTTTGTTTTTGTCTATTACTTCGATGATTTTGTCGACTATGAGATATTATAACAGCAGAACCACAGGCAATACAAACAGCATTTGTAGAACTTACTGTGAGAAGAGTTTGTAGAGACCTACTGAAGCTATTCAAGACCCATCAGAAGTGCTATTACAACTCCTACACCGATTGGAAGTAAAAAACCAAAACCACCTCCAAAACAAGAATTGACTTCTAGCTCCAACACTGAAAAACACATCAGGCACAGGAATGATGCTCAGTAGAAATTACATTTTGGTATTTCAACAGTCAGAGTTCACCAAGGACATCACATAAATAACGATGATGCAGGCATAAATGGGCCAAGACTACATGCAAAGTATTACACACCACCTTCTGAGAGGTACATTTAGACAGGAACTTCACAGTACAGCCTTGGGGCATCGGAAACACTGGCATGACTAATCACAGCAGAATTTAAGGTTTTTTTCTTCCTCTAACACTCACAAGACACCCACATCCCAGAACACGAGGACATTATCAAAGGCGACAGTGGCACTCTTATCAGAGATGACAAACCTAAGAGTGATCTCTCCCTTAGGAACGAGATCAGCTTGTCCATCACAGCAAAGCAGTTCAGAAGGATATTTTGAGGGGTGAAAGGAATACTCTTTCATAGCCTCTCTCTGGTCAGATTGTGGCTCAATTGACTCAAACTGCCTGATTTAATGGCTGCACAGTTGACTGTGTAAGTAGAAAAAAAATAAAGTCAGGGTTGCTCAGGGGATCTCACCTAAGATATTAAGAAACTCCAAGATATCCGTGCAAGAGAATAGAGGGATGGATTACACAAAGAAACACAAATTGTTTTGGTTGGAAACTGCTATGTGTGATTTTAAGCTTACCAATTAGACAACAGAAGTATCTTCTCCCGGGACTGTCACAATCCAACTCCAGCAGCATGCACCCTCCTTTGCGGCTTATGACACACACGCTCCTCTTCCCCCTTCAGCCTCCCCTATCTACCACCTCCCCCAGAGCTCAAAGCAGGTACCTGACACAGGATTGTGTTTCTCAGTCACCTCTTGCCATTTATGCATACCCAAAGCGTGGGGAGGACAACACAGTATCTCTGACTAAGGCCAACCAGAGCTCTATCATGATGCAAGTCTCTAGACAGGATACAGACCTGTAGGATCTGCTTCTTCCTTCAGGGCAAGGCGGGCAGACATCTGACACTGAGTCAAAGCAGAGTGCCCAAGAGGGACAGATGGACGCCACTGCCTGAGAGGCCGACAACAAGGCCAGTTAATGGCTATGTGCTGTGTCTGGGGCCAAGGGACATGCAGAGCATGCAAGTGAAAAGCTTTCCCTAGCATGCCCTGTCCCTCCATCGCTCCTCTTAACAAACTCACCTTGGCAGGGTCCTGCTGCTCGGTGAGCCTTCTCCCGTGGTGAGAAGGGAAAAGATAAGCAGGGATTATACTGCACAGGTAACATTAGGACAAGGGCTGTACCACTAAACTCAACAGGGTTAACTGCATTCCCTTCTAACAGTCTTGACTAAGTTATTTACTTTGTTAACTTAACAAAACTCCCCCCAAAATACTTTTAAGTGGCTTCATCAACAAAGTGCTGGGCTCCAAACCAGCATTTTCAACACCTACTTCAACTCAACTGGATCTTAAGTCCTAGTAATACAGGTGGCGAAAGCCTTTCTTTCCATCGGGTTGGAGTCGCTCGTTAGAGGTTCTTTGTGTCTCGTGAGCTATAAGGGATGGTATTCAGGTCATCCGACCAAAACGGAAAGTTTTAATAGACTCAGATATGAATCTGATACAAGCGAAATTTAGATCAGGCTGGCTAAAGGTAAGCAAGACTAAGCACGTCTTGGCCTCATACCCAGGCAAAATCCAGATGCAATGCAAGATTAGCAAGCAAGTAGGAGATAGGTAGTTTAGTCTGTCAGACGTTGCGATAGACCTGCTGATCCTGCTTGCGAGGTGCTGAAAACTTAGGTATTTTTATCCTTTGCAGCATAACACCTTTGGCCAGCATTTTATTCACAGCTGTTATTTTGCAAGCTTTTTCCAGGTATAAAGTTGGGGAGATCGGTTCCCTGAAGAAAGCTCAGGAATACAAGGACTGGGGTCACACTCTGAGGTCCTTCTACTACTCAGTGGACATGGGCTGCAAAGGCAAATAAAATCATAGGCTAAAAGCAGTAAGTGATGTGGTGAGTGTTATCCGAGGCAGATCCCATTTCTCAGAGCAAGCTCTGAAAATTTTCACTTACTTTCTCACTTTCTCTAGATACATTTCCCATTAACTTCCACAGAAGTTGCACAAATAAATCGTTAGGTTTCAGCCTCACATTAGTGCAACCAATGGTGATGAGCCACACAAGCCATTACAAAAGCCCTGGGGGAGAGATTTAACAGCAGCGCTCACCGACTTGTTTGTCTTTGTGTAGTGGAGAGACCATCTTTCTTTTAGCCCCAGAAAGGATTAACACATGCACAAGGCCGCTAGCTCCAGAAGGAGTCTCATTTTAACACACCTTCACTGCCAAGGCCCAGACTGCCCTAACCAAGAGGCAGATGTCATCTCTGCAGAGTTACCCTGCCAGAAAATCAGCAGCTCTGTTGTGTTGCAAGACTGTTCCTCACAGCACAGCTTTGTGACAACAGCCAAATGCAGGCACTAATGGAAGCCCAAGTGAAGTAACTGGTAGAACAACTTGGAGACAAAGCCCCAAGAGTAACATTTACTGCAGATTCACTACTTTCTCCGGTAATGAAGGCAGGACACAAGGGAGTGTAAGGTCAAGTGCCCCAGTGCTAAACCACAACAGAGCCCAGACTGTTCAATCAAAATGCTAACCCTGGACAATTCGCCTGTGCCCTCTTCTTCCCCAAGCCCTGTATATTTATCCACAGGTACTTATGGCAGTTAGGCTTCAAGACAATAGTTCAGCCAGCCAAGTAATCCCACATGCTTCGGTCAGCCTTTCGATCCCATCATTGTACAATTCCCCAACAGCACGCTTGCCATGTCAGCAGGATCTGCATGATACAATTTAAGAGCAGTAATGTAACTGCAGATTCAAGGTATAGATGCAGGATGATACTCTGGAAATTGCATTGCAAGCAAGCTTCAGCACACAGGGAATACGTTAGTGATGTTTGAAACACTTTGTTTTCCCCCACAAGGCAAAGAAACTTGAACAGTACTTTAAACCATGACTATGAAGCAGAAGGGTCTTAACCAAGATCCACATTCCACCACTTGAACAGGCAAATATATAGGGGAATAAAAACCCCAAGACACTGACTCATCTGGTACATTTCCAAGTGCCGTTGCATGCCAAGTATATGAAAGTTCAGAGATTAACTACCTCTGACACCAACCCACTACATCACAAGTCAGCAGCAGGACAAAAGGAAAAACTCTTCACAAGAAAGGGAGGGATGCATTGATTGCCCGTGTGCTTTGGGCAAAGCTCTGAGGCCCTTCCTTAACAAGGGAGAAATCAACAGCACTGCTCATGCCTCATATAGAAGTATCAGGATTCAGACGCAAACGCCTATTGCAGCATGAGGAATTCTCTCACAGGCCCTGCCCCAGGTGCATTTACAGTTAGCTTCTTCCCACAGGAACATCAAGAAGGATCGAAATGAAGTTAGCAAAGAGCCCCCTCCCTCTTCCAGCTCCTGTGCTCTGGTCAACAAGGGAAAAAATAATCCCCTAAAAAGGAGACGGAGCAATACACCAGCAGGCTCAGGGCTGACGGCAGCATTAGGACAAAGTCCTACGACCCAGATTTATCTGTGAAAAGCATCCCTTGAAATACAGTTTGAGTGTCATTCCAAGCTTTTCCCAAGTAGGTTAAAGAACTGTTTTCAGTCACCACAGAATAGAGCTGGCAGCCAGCTACCAATAGGTATTTCTGCAGAGCAACCCTGCCACCTGGGACCACAGACCAAACCCCATGCCTCAAACAAGTCCAGCTCAACTCGAACACAAACTCATGTTCTGTTCAAACTGACATTAAATATAGGAAGGTCATCTTCTCTAATCTGGAACCTTACTTCAGTATCCTCTGAAAGTGTTATTCTACCTAATGAATAAAATCCACAGAGCAAAAACATGTAATGCTCTGTTCTTTGAAATCCATGTAAAAGGCAACTTGGTTCAGTAGACAACTCACAGAAAGCAAGTTGTAGGAATTGCTGCTGCTACAGGCTCACTCTCTACAGGATCCCCGTTAATGAATAAATACGGAGTCACTTGGAAGACAGCTGACAAAGTCAATCAATTTTTTCTTGTTCCAATAGCTTACCTGGTGATGAACTTCTCCTCATTGATGGAAACAGAAGGTAGATGCTGTGCTTTCATAGTCACTTTCTTCATTTATTCTGAAGAGAAGAACCTAAATAAAGGTTAAAAATAATTTATCCACTATTGCCACTAAAAAAGACTAAGTGGTAAACACAACAACAAAGCCTTAGCTTGCCAAGTGGAACAGGCTCCAACAGTCAAGCTAAGGGCTAACTGTACCATATTTTGACTGCTTTGTACTTAGCTGTAATACCCAAATATTTCCCACTCCTAGTCAAAAAGCCTTAAGCCATTCCCACCAAGTATATCACAGTAACTTAAATCCCAAGTACTGCATGTACCAGGGCTTTCTCAAGTAGTTTTAGGAATACTCCACAAATCCATGATTATGCTTCGCCCGTTAGCGAAGACTGCAACCCATTTACTGGTGAGGATTCATTTGTTAATTGTGGATAGAGCATTGCCCAGGGTCACCAAAAAGAAAGTGACTCAGCAAACCACCCTTAACCAGGTTCGTAAACCTAGACAGGAGAAGGAGAAGTGTTGATCATAGGCAGAGTCCTGCAGCACACAAAGAAAGCAGCAGAGATATTAAAGAGAGAACAAGGCTATAATTAAAGTGATGCAGCAGTATAATTTACAGGTCACCACGCAGTGATTCCAGCGCATTGTACAGGCAGCAAGCCAGCCCCATGAGACTCTGACAATGCATTCTTCAATAAGCTTAATTACGGAGTCTGGGCTGCTTTCGTTCCCCCTCAGGTACTAGAAGCAAAGGCAGACTGAGGAAAGTAACTTAAGAGACTCAGAGACACAAGACTGACAACTAATACGGCACTGAAGAAAAACCAACTTAGTCTCAGCCCAAGAAGTGGCATCACACAGATGGATGGGAAAAGTAAATCCCAAGGAAAGCAGAAAAATCCCCAAGGACTTAATTGGAAGTTAATTGCTCCACTTTTATTTCCCTTACTTTGGCATAACAACAGAGCAGTTTGCCTAACAGCAGGACTTGATGGCCATTCCCCCTTAGGCCGGGAGATAGACTCGAGTCTGATTTCAGACAGCATAGGACAGAGCCTGGTCAGAGACATCTGGAAAGTAGTTCCTTGTCTACTGTACTCATGACAAGTAGCCTTCAGAAAATCTATTTAGAGAAGAAATTCAAGCTCGAAAAAGATCATGGCTACCTAAAGAGTAAGTGCTTAGCTTCTGTGCAAACAATCCGAGGCTACTGAGCTGGTTTTTTAGATAAAGTTACATAAAGTTCCCATAGTCATAGATGAACAACTTCTAAAAATATAAATGTGGATAAATGACAAGTTTTTCAGAACACATTATCTTCAACCTACAGGTTATTTCACACCCTCTGAAACCAGAGGGCACTACCAAAAAGAGCTTTACGTGAGCAGCTGGGGTTCCTACCAGTGCTTGAGCAGTAGCTCATTGAAGGGAGGGAAGGATCCCACGTACCCTTTGTCCTCTGGGTGACGTCCACCAAGGCAAAAGCCTACCTGAAAGCCAAACAAGGCCAGGGACTTCTGTACAGACATGAGTTTCTAGTTAAGGAAGATTGCTGTACACCAGTATAATAGTGGTGTTACTTTGCCTCTGAAATGAGCTCAGTAACCATTGGCCAGACCTTGAAATCTGCTTTTATGTGATTTACTAATACCTCTAACTAAATCAACTGCCTAAGCCAATGTAATTTCAAAAGACACAGAGGAGTTTATGAACATTGGCACCTGAACATCTGGATATACACTTGAGCTTCCTCCCATCTGTCAGGAAAAACACACATTAAGAGCAGATAGCCAAGTCACTGCTGTTTAATGTACAGTAGCAACTCTAGCAAGGTCTAGCACCGCTTCATTGCTCATGGTTACATTCAATAGAATTTGACCTTGAAATGGTTAAAATGAAAGAGAAAGCTCATCTCTAGAGATTGAGAGAAGTCATTTTTACACAAAAAACCTATTATCATTGAACCACGTGTTTTGTTACAGAGTGAATGGATCTCACTAAATTATTTCCCTTACAAACCTTGACCATATCTTAAGTCAGCTGGATGACATGAAAATGCTGACAATGGAACAAACTGGAAGAGTAGTTGGCAATGGGAACAATCCGTTACCAACACCTCCCCCTTTTCTCTCCCTTGCTGCCCGATTAGCCTGGACAAAGACCCACCTCTTCTCCCCTAGCTGGCACAGAACCACAAAACATCCTCCTTACATTGCTCCCAGTTCTGCTTATCAGGCTCATACAAACCATTTCCACCACCACCAGCCCACCCTAGAGATAAAACACTCCTCCGCATACCCTTCCCATGGGCACATTTTGGCTGCACAAACCTTGCAGACCTTATTTTTACTTAGCCCTGAAACCTCTGGGTTGAGCACGTGCAGTGACTTGGCCAGCACCATTATTTGACACCATTAAGGACAGTGTATTTGAACTGGCACTCCATAAACCCACAAAGCTAACACATTTTCTATCACATCCCAGTATTTTATGCTTTTCCAAGTCACTTGGCTGTAGCTCTTTTGGAGAAGCAAACAGGAGAAGTGAAGTGCATTTTTTCCATCCTTCCCTTGAATTTGAACTAACAAGAGAGTGTTAGCTTTCCAGCTCTTCTGACAGTATATGACCATGGCCATCTATTCAAAGCTGTCTCCCAATTGCTTAGCATCGGGCAGGCATCTTCAGCACCATGTTGGACAGGTCTAGAACCACAGAATTCTTTCAGATAGGCGAGACCTTCAAAGTGGGACCTTGGCTGGCCTAACCTCCAGGCCTGAGACTTAACCAAGATAAAGCTGAACACTCAGAGGAAGACTAACTGAGGCCTAAAATACTTTTGGAAGGAAAGAAAAGAAACAGAAGGGAAAGACAGGAAAAAAAATCAGAGGTGGGACAGATGCAAAATGAACAACTCCAGAGGAAGACTGCAGCTATTGAAGAAGTCTAGAAAAAGGGGGAGAAATAAAAGACCACTGCACAACCCCAAATCTGTGAGAGAATCAACATCCACATCAGAGCACAACACGAGCCTCACAGAGGTAATGAACTTCTCCTTTCCCCAAGATTTAGATCTGACCCAAAATACTTTCTTCCAAGAAAAAGTCAAAGTGTTAGCAGAGAGGCAGATGAGAGGACTAGTTTAATTTCATTAAGTAGAGTGATTTTTAAGTTACTTGCTTAAGGCAACAGCACAGGGACAGGACAGTGGAGGAACGACAAAGCAAAGCTAAGAACAAATGGCCCCACAGGTTTTAACACAGGAGGGAAGGAGGCAACTGCTCTGCAGTTCTACAGGGGGGCTGGAAGGAGAGGGGCTCTCAACACCCAGGGTTCAGCCAAGCAGCGTATTGATTTCCACATTCCAGCCTGGATGTGCTTTTTGGCACATCCATGTGTTAGGAGAGGGACTGCAGAGCGAGCACTGTGCTACGCAGAGCTCCTGCCAGCATTAGGAAAACAGAAAACCCCAAACCTCCCCCAGGATTTCTAGGTATTTTGACCCAGTGCTTCCCAAAGCTGTTCCAAAGCAGGAAGTCAGGCTGGGGTAAACCTCCTCAGGCTCTCATACAGCAACCACATGACTCCGCTGTCTTAACTTTGCTGTCGACAACATATACATCTAATATTTGTACAGCATGAAGAGCTTTGCGCTGTAGGCACAACAGCACATACACCTAAGTCATACGCTAAACTCAGAAGCGTTGGGTATTTAGTGAAATTTTGGACCATTATCTGTTTCTGTAAAAGCCAGTTTAGGATTTATTCACATACTTAAGAAATTCAGTATCAGCAGAATAATTTTACTAGTCTTTATCTGTCACACAGTGTAGATACACAAGCCTTCATGCTGGGTTTTCCTTTTTTTTGTTTCTTTTTAAGTGAGGTGTCCTCACCACCAAAGCACAGGTCTAACCAAAAGAAAGTACCTGCTGCAAACACTTGCATTTTCCCCACTGAAAACAAGGGGGCTTTTTTCTTTGTCTTGCAGACTTATTTACACTTTATTTTGAAAGTTAACCGCTACAGCACCAAGCAGTAACAGCACCCCTTGAATACAAAACACAGCACAGCCCCTCTGCTCAGGTGGGTTCAGAATGGGCTTTAATTACTGAAACCAACAGTTGCTCCTTGCCTGTGAGCATGGCCCCTTACCTTTGAGTCACAGAGGAAGGGGTACACAAGCTCCCTCCCTTCACACAAACAACGACGGCAGAGCTGGGCTTGCACCAAATAAAATTCCAACACTAATAATCCATTATTATGAAGGGAAGTTACTTCCGATTTCAGGTCGCTTAGCAAAGATAGCTTTTACCCGCCAAAAGGAACAGACAAGGTCACCCATGTCACCTTTTCAATCACAGCAGCGACTGAATGCAGGGCAGCAAGGGCTCATGCCCACGTACACGCTGAGCAGCAGCACTACCCATTACCTGCCCTTTTTAACCACAACTCTGACTCAAAGCCACCTCGACATTTAGGAACTTCTTCAACAAGAATTTGACCGAATATTTCTCCTTCCCTCCGGCACCCTAATTACTCAAAAGGAATTTAACTCAAGTTCTGGGTGACTGGGAAGGACCTTGCTTTCTACTGACACTGCAGGTTACACAGCAAGCAGAAGAGCTCCAGCCCTACATTTCACTTACCTGTGTATATGATCGGAGAAGGAGAAGCGGAGGAGGAGTTTCACATACCATGCACTGAGCCCTGGACAAGGCATGACAGCATTGCACTGCCTGACAGCTACCTCTGCTACTTCATGGAGCCCACAAAGCTGTTAATTACTATTTTGCTTAACAAACTGGGAGTGCTGGAAACCCTGGACACTCCCCACACCTTGGTGCATGTCGGGAATATTTACCTACCCACTTTCCTTCCTCCAAGCGGCTGACAGGAACGCTCCCTTAGTCACGGTTACACCTACGGGGAGGCTCCAGTTAACACTTTAATCACTAACTTCATAACGAGAGGCAACCTGCTGACTCTCCTTCATTGTTTGCTGACAGGGCACACGCTGAAACGTCCTGTGCCGAAAGCACTGTCATGCTTTAACCTCGTCCTGTCTGCTCCCAAGTCTGTAGGACAAAGGCATTTTTCCTTCTCCAGATAGATGCCAGTCTTCAGTGCTTCATGGAATAACTAATATGGACAATCGGAGAATGCCTAAGTAGAAATATATGGATTTACAATATTGGACTCAAGTTTGGACAACACAACTTGATCACTCAATCGCATACAGCTGTACATTCAATTTCTTGCTTAGTTATATTGCTTGCTTAACTGTATGTATTTCTTGCTTAACCGTATGTACTCGCCTTATGAATATTATTCATCAGGCTAGAGTTGTGTCTATAAGAGAATGCATCACTGCTTAGCTTAATTGCTTAGCAGCTAATCACCTAAGCAGGCATTTAAGCCATAAAGAAGTAATTGAACAAAATATTTGAACAAACATACACCTTGCAAGTTCCTACTGTTCACCCATCCATTTATAGCAAGCAATTTACTCACAGCATCAGGCCCAACACTGGAAGTTATTGGGCCACCGAGAGAAAAGAAGGAAAAATACTGAGCCTGAATTTGCCTTCATACCCATCTTATTGCACTGTGATTTCTATCAAGTTACTTCTGTTTTATATCATGTCATGTTAGGGAAGGGCAGAACATAAACATTTGATTCCCGATCACATAATTATTCTCTGCTGTACGCAAGAGCTACGCTCCCTTCTGTACTCACAACACAAGATATGGAGGATTACAGTTTATGCTGCAGTTTCTAGCGCTGCACCTGAAAAATACTTAAAGACTTCAGTTATAGATCTAACATTCCTAAGTCTCTCAAAACACAGGAAGGACTCAGCGTACCAGATTTTTGCTCAATTCCCCACAGCATAGAAGTCCATGCTGTGGTAGGCTTGGAGCTTCACAGCAAGCTCAACCTCCGGGGCTGCTCTGTCTCTTCTGCAATCCTTCACACAAATCCATACAACTTCCCAACCTGTTTCAAACCAGACGTTTGATTCTTCCTGTCACAGCTTCAGACACTTGAGGACTCTGCCCGAAGCTCTCGCTCGGATTAGAGAGACAGAGCAGGCACAGCCTGGCACCTTCAAGTCTCTAAACCAGGACAACATCAAACCTATCTATTTCTGCCAAGTACGCCACCCTGCTGGACACTTGCACTGTGAAGCTGTGAGGTACCAGAAGGCATCCAAGTATTTTTAGAACTGAAGACCACATTATTAGCTTACAACAGGGCAATAGGATGCTAACCCTTCAGTGTAACTCCAGCTTCATCCTGACTCCCAACTTGTAAGGTTCTGTTTGGGTTTTTTAAGACTAATTCAAGTTTTTAAGTATCGCATTTTCAAGTTTAGAAGCAAGTTCTGAAAACCAATGCTTAAATTACTTAGAGTCATGCAAAGATGTCTCAGCAAGCAATTAATACAATAAAGCAGTAAAAATCACCATTGTAACAAAGGACTGCAGTTCTCATTTCCAGTTAAACCAGGTGTGTCAATTTTTACATTGGCTTGGCTCACACAGCTCAGGTTTGTTTCTAGTTTTCACTCTCACACCTGAACTACTAGCACTGGCCTACTCCTGCTCTCCTTTCGCTCACACACAATGCCTGCTAAGCACTCGGTGGAGACTGGTCAGTGCAGACCAGGAACAGGTGTCACATCAGGGGAAAAAAAAAGGTCTTTAGGAAGAAATTAGTTCACTGTAAATTCCAAGAAAGAGAAGGCTTCTATTGCTTTCATAGTAAATACTCAATGCACAGGGAGCATTACTCTCTCCTCTTTCATACTAAACATATTCTATATGCCATGGAAATCTAAGAACAAGTCCCAACTCGATTATACTATTTCACCCCTTAAACGAAAGTGTAACGATGATTTGGTTCAAACAGGCAAGGAATGCAGTGATCCTTGAGTCTTTAAAGGCTGTGTTACATTTCTGTCTCATTGCACAATTAATATTGAAATATTTTAAGTTAATAAATAATTGGAAGTTGGAGTTCAACTGTTTAATAACTTGGCCTCAAATCATTAACAAACAGACTGCTAAAACTAAAAGAACATCCCAGACAGAAAAAACTAAGGGATTCTTGTTCTATTTTTGTAGTACATAATCATAACAAGCAGCCTGGCCATGGCAAGACCATACACACATGCTGGACTTAAGTGCAAGTGTTTCGATAAACACAACAGGATATACATGAGCTCACAACAGATTCCTCTGCTTTACAGCAAGAAAGAAAAGCCCTCATACTGTTTGCAAACAGCTGTTTCTGGGCAACTTCTGATCATTAACTCCAAACATGGAAAACACCTCTTGGACTTTCTAAGCCAGCTACTGTAATGTAAAGGTAGAGCCTCAACTGACAAGACCTGAAGTTAATATAAACCAAGGGATTGGTTCTTTCCTTTATACTACAAACATTGCTAAGAGGATTGTGTTGGTAATAGCAACCAATCAAGGAATTTAAAACAACTGATCTACCCTGCAAAGGACCTCCCATTCTTCAGCAAGATTATTTTCTGTCATCGCACTGAAGTGCCAGCAGCAATACTCGTGTGCCAGGACATGTTGTGCAGACACCACTGATAAGCATACAAAACAGAAACTAGGAAACAGATGATTAGCTCAAATAACCAAATGTGCAATGCACACATCCAGTACAACACCTTGTTATCTATCGTGGGCCATAATCCCTCACACACAACATTTTGTGAATTTTGGGGGCCTCAAGCTGTTAAGGAATAGAAAAGGAACAGAGCTGGTGTTGGCAGCAGCATATGTGCTAAAAGCTATGGTTTTTGACATGGTTTGAAGAGCTGAAACTTCCCAGGTACTGACCTTTGTCTGTGTGAACAGCAGCTTGCAGATATCACTGTCTTTATCCTCTTGAGTCACTGCTAGAAGGGCAGATCTTACCACAGCATCTGAAACACCGTTAGTCACGCATCATGGCTTGGCATTGATGATATACACCCATTAAGTCACCCATTTGACATTATAGAGCTTTATACATCCACACAAGGAATTTCATTGCCTGGAGCTACAAAATATTATTAAGGGCAGAAGCATAAGAAACTGCCCTGTCCAAAAAAGCTGCAATCATACAGCTTCTCACTCCTGTTAGAGCTCAACCAGGAGTGAACTCACAACTTCACCACACTCAGCCAATGTGAAGCTCTTTCTACATATCATTCTATATCTGGATTCTTCTCCCTTCAAGATACAAACCCCCAAGTGTGCCTTTCTTTTAAAGATCACAAAATCACTCACCCCCCTCCCCCCCCAAACCAACCTCTAGCCTTCCTCCTACTTGCAACACAGGATCCTTTTATGCTCAGGTCACTCCTCTGTAATGGTCAGTTGAGGGTCATGTGACTGTAGCACCTGACTCCCATTTCCAATATGCTAATGATTTTTCTTTAATTACTTCATTCTTAAAGCAGCTGAGTCATAATGTAGACTGTCCCCTATTTTCTATTCCTTTTAAAAAGATCAGTTCAGTACTCTCCACAGTCAGTTCGAGTTCAATGTCTAACGAACGCAATGCAAGTCAGACATCGTTTTCTTGACTTTGCCGCAGTACGTGGCGCTGTGTAACGAAATGATTCAGTATCTCTAACACACGGTGCACAGCACCGTCCTAAGCCCTGCTGATCGTGCCGGCATGTTACTGAATTCAGGGAGATCTGGGAGGCTGTTTACGGTCACGCTGTCAGTGTTCCTTACCCGACCCATCAGTCTTTCAAAGATATTCTCTTTTTTCCCTCAGACTTCTGTCTTCTGAAAACGTTCACAGTTCCAGATCCTGAGATGCTCTGAGCACACGCAAGTCTCCGGCAAATTTTGGAGAAGAGCTCAGCTCCTATAATGTGTTCTCATATCAGGTGCCCAGACAAACAGTAGGAAGAGCACACTCACACTTACGCCACTTCATTTATTCTAGCATCCTTTCTATAAGAAAATGAAATTTCCTTAAAGACCATTTCACACCAGAGCTTCTCCCGTACGGATGAGGACATAGTTTGTCACTGCAGCGGAGCACTCTGAAATAAGTTTCAGTTGTCCTTACATATGTGACTCTCTGTGCAATAAAAGCGTTCAGGTTGAAAAGGAATAGGGCAAGGAACAGTACTCTGGCGTTTTTGCTCTGTGATTATGAAGTGGGGAATCCGAAGGTGGTGGGCATGGGGGAATGCACGGCAGTTGCAGCCTGCCTCTGGTCTGAGCAGCCCACGCGCCTCTGCTCGCAGTTGCTGCGCAGTGCAGACATTCTTCACATTGTGTCCCGGTGTCGCTGCGTGGCGTACACTTCTTCATTGTACGCTGCTAAGCACAAAAAACTCGAGTGATACATCAAACTGCTGGGAAGCTAGCGTAAAAGCAGCGACATCTGGGACTTCAAAACATTTCCATAATGAATATTGAGTGCGTAAGCAAATAACACCCCTGAGGTGCGTCATAAAAATTGTTCAGAGAGAGAACTGACTTTTTTGTACTGCATTAGATATCTAAACAGACAGTAGAGCAGGTGGTCTGTAAGCATCCGTAGCATTTGTTGTATTAATTTGCTCTTGAAAATCTCACACAAGCACAGAGAGCACTGCGAAGGAGAAAGTGCAAAGCGAAACAGATTGGGCTGACTAACTGAGGTTCTGCCTTGGGTTTGGTGATTTGAAGAGACCTCCGTGACTCCTCTGTTCTCTCTAAGAAAGTTCACCCTCTGACAGCGAGACACTCCTCAAGTCTGCTCATTCTGGCTGAAAATCACCCCACAGATGCTGCAGCTGCTTGCTCTGGATCACTCCTGTCCTTGCATAATGCTGCTTTTCTATTACAACATCAAATGGCCCCTTTGGGCAGTCAGCTGTCTAGCATATATTACCAAGAGTAAATACATTTATGTACTTACTGTGTCATGTTCATATTCTTCTCCTGAGTGCCTGATTGTATGGATCACATTTTTCTTCTTATTCAGATATCCTAGGCCCAAACTCTTGTGAGTAGGGTCCTAGAGCACAGCGAGCGCTGCGTGCCACGGGCGGCAGTTCTGCGTCAGCTCGGTGGCAGAGGCGGTGGCATTTCAGTGGCGCTGGGTGAAACAATAGTGTCTCTAACTTTGAAGGGCTAAATCTTCTCTCAGTGCTTGGCTAATGCATCTACAACCTACGCTAGGTTTCATGGGAATTAGCAAAGCTAAAATTTGATCTCATCGTTGAGAACATCTGAATGTCTTCCTGGTCTAACAGTGCTTCGGTAAAACAAAGCCAGATGAGAATGGGGGTGTATGGAACATAAAATCACTATCTGATTTGGACTAGGAGCCCTTCCTCTGTAAGGCAACATAAACAAGTCAATAGCTGTTTAGGAGATACTGAAATTCCGGAAAAATTCTTCCCTGCACAGTTGTCTGGAGGGTGTGTCTTCCAGTTTGGAATTTGATCCATCTGAACCTGTCATTCTCAGCCCTGCAGGCGATACCTCGCTTCTAGCCAGTACACGTGTCCTTACAAGTGAAGAATCTGAACAAGCTGCCCACTGGAAATGCAAATTCAGCCTCTCGGATGCTGTTGTCCCAGCTCCCACAGCGCACACCACACACCATGCTTGCAGGAAGCGATCCTCACCGCAGGAAACCACGGGCTGCTGGGTGACGGAGGGAGCGTCCAACGACATGATGTTCAATCAGCTAAAAAGCTGTAGAGGAAACAGAAGAGTCTTTAGGACTGTAAGTTGGATGGTGTGCTTGCCCAGGTCCGTGCAGAGAGCACAGGTTCTAACAGGTGCAGGAATGGAAGCAACTCCAGGCGTGAAATTTCATACAGAAGTTATTGCAGAAACAGGAACCGCACCTGAGCAGTAAATGTCCAGCTACTGCTGGAGGCGTACGGAGAGGGAGCTGAGTGCTCCTCTCCCAGAGCTCCTGGCATCTGCACAGATCCTCTTTGGCTCCTGTGTACTTCTGTATTAGCGCTGCAAGAGTTGGCACTGCATTTTCAAGCTTTCATTTACAGCAATAAATGTCAGAATTTCAGATGCCTTTGTGAAAAATTAAGGAATATCTGGCGAAATACCCTGAAACTGAAGACTCGGAGATCAATGGCCATTTTTGCAAGATTGATGTGAATGTTCAAGCCTGGCACCACTCTCTCGACATATAACACCACAGATCTGCACTTAAATGACAATGTTTTTCAAAGAGGGACAGTCCTTTGTCTCTGCTGTTTATGGACAGCTGCTTTCTTACCTGAAATGTCATCAAAGGTGACATTCTTCCGGGGTTGGATCCTCCTGCTTCCTCTATGCCACACCGATGGGCAAGGCCCTGCAGGATATGCTCTTTCCCAGCGTAACGGACTTCTTGTGGCAATGACACGCACTTAACTCCATGCTGCAAAATGAAAAGTAAGATCTCTGTCAGTGTCTGCCCTCTGAGGGCACCAATTCACCTTAATGATCCTGATTTGCCTCAGCTGGAACCTCCCCACCCCTTGACCCCCACCCATGGGCCCATGACCCTATTTAAGCTCAGCCTGAAAGATTTGCTCTCTTTTTGAGTTGTGTTGGGGGTATGGTAGTGTTTGTCTCATTGGTAGACCCAGCTATGCCTGGCCATGGGCCTTACGGATCCTTTTCTGCAGGCTGTATTGCCTTCTTGTTGCTGTAGACTTGATGGGCAGTAACTGGATGATCTGCTCTGGCTCAAGGATTGATTCTGTTGGCTTTATCTTGGTCCTATTTTATCACTATGATCTTGTTTGGTACTTGGGCTCTTGGTTCAATGTTATTTAGCAGGTGAGATGACGGAGGGGTGTTCTGAGCAGCCAAACTGCTGCCAGGGAAGAGGTGGAGTAGCGTGCGGGGACTTGGGCTGCAGGTAGTCTGTGCCCCGACACGGTGAGCTTGCCCTGGCCCCTGCTGGCTTCTGCAGCAGACTGTGCGCCAGAGACGGAATGTGAGTCACGGCTCGTCTTGCTCGGCTCCATCTCCCAGGCTGCCTGGGCTGCTGGCCCAGATGCTGGGTGTAAGACATATCTCCTCAAAGATCTGTGTTTAAACTGGGGCTTTTGCTTCTTGTTATTTTACTACTAAAAGCAAACACAATGGCAAATGTAATTAAAAAGGACTGAGCTAAGACACTCAAATCCTTGTGCCTCTTGTTGTTTGTACCTGGGAACTTGGATCTATGGCCCGATTGCCCATGTTGCTGAGGCACTTAAATTTTACAAGCTGACTATGTGGAGTAAAAGTGATTTTATTCATATGCTGTTAAAGTATTTTCACAAGTGGAGTAATTTTTTTAATTAATGCAGTATCTGTTCAAATGCTGATTTTAGTAACTAAATATTCATAGCTTTACATTTGTCTTGCAAAATGTATAACTCTGTATTTAATTTACCAGCTGAAATAAACATAAAATGGCTCTTGGGTTTTGTCAGAACTTCTTATGAATGTAAAAATAAATTCTGCCAGCTCCCACCTTGGCTATCTCGATTTCCTCTGATTTTCTTAAGCTCTCTTTTCCACCAAGTCTCTTTCCAGAAAAACATGTTATTGCAAGCCTTCCCTGTACACAAACTGAGTGAATTCTGCTGCATTCAGAGGGTGCATGTAAAGATGATATGCTAAGAGAAGTTATTTGAGATGCCAACTGCTTGTCTTACTGGGCTTCTTCCTTTTTTTTTGACTCTTTAGACTACAAATGTTTGATTACACACTCGTTAGCCTTTGTCCTTCCTAAGGAAGTGAAATAAATCCCCATTCCAGTAAAAACACTAACAATAGCAATAATACCTAATGGAAGTCAGCACCACTACAATCCAGGGGAACACACGAACTGGTGCCGGCCCGGCAGCCCCAGGGCAGCCCTGCAGCTGCAGTGGAGGGGAAGCACCGCGAGGTGGCGCAGCCCCCGAGGCATCCCCTGGGCTGACAACTCCTTTCGACAAAAGCTTGGATTTAACCTGGTGAAGCTGAAATAAATTTACTCTCCCGCTGGTGGAGGGGCTGTCAGAGCTGTCAGCATTTGAGTTACCACGTGTGAGAAGGCTCTATTAACTCTGGAGCGCAGAAAAAATAACTGTTAAATGTATGTTGGAAAGGTGTTCTAAGGGCCCAGGTCACTGAACAGGGTTAAGGAGGCCATTAGAAGGGAAGGGTTAAGGAATGGTCCACAGGAGAAAAGATTAAAGCAGTACCGACTGTACATGCTACGTGTGGACATAAAACACAGCGGATGCCAAACCTCTCATTTACACGTGCCTTGGTACCAGACTGGAAAATGGCCCCATTTTAAACATAGCTCTTCTGAATGTCCGGAAAACTGCAGACCAGTAAATTGATGCCTTTACCAGGCAAATGAGTAGAAAAGAGAACAAAGAATAGAGTGAGAAAGCAAAGGACTATCCCTAAAATTCTGCTAGGATGCCTGCAGGCAGCGGGGACCCCGGTGGCAGGGTTACTCTGGCTCCCTGGGGGAAATAGCAATGTCCATCACCAAAGATTCTGCAAGAGAGAAGGGGAGAAATGACTCTTGTAGAACAGTAAAAGGTTAGAAACAGAAGGCAGGACTGGACAGTGCTCACTTTTCTTACTGGAGGGCGGTGGTCTGAGACCCACAGAGCTGCTCTGGGACCTGCGCCATTGGACATGAAGGTGAAAACTTCCATCAGGAATCAGGAAGGTGAAAACATCCATCTTAACGAGCTGAATTACATATAGAGAGGAAACAGTTCTCCTCGTGCTCTAAAACTCTTCACATACAATATAAGTATGGTACAGCAGGTATCGATCAAGTCTCCTATCGGTGATCTTTTGTTCCTATCTAATGATACCAATCTGTGATTACAGCCAGGACAGCAATTGTGGGGAGCGACTTCACTCACCACACAGCGGCAGCGTCCCGGGCGAGAGCAAAACATCCTCGTACATAAGTAATGGTCAGGCGGAATGAGCTCCTCGTACATAAGTAATGGTCAGGCGGAATGAGCTCCATGTGCATGAAGAGCGCAGGGCTAAAGGTACGGGGTTTGGATTTGGGGCTGAACTGCCTCTTACCAGCATCGAGAGCGAGCTCTGAGGGCGGCCCCAGTGGCAGGAGCTGCTGTGTCAGCCTTGGCCTCCAGGTGGACCCCTGGACCCACGGAAAGGGCTGCCCACGCCATAACTGCCTGCAGTCACTGCACCACGCTGGGAATGGCCCTCGCTGGTTTAATTCAACAGGAAAGGCGGTGGGGGATGAAACTCGGAGTGGGTTCCAGGGAGAAGGATGTTTCATGCATGGGAAGGGCTGCCTTACCAGTCTTTCACATACCTCCTGGCTCAAAGATACGTGGGGAAAGATACCTGCCTGAGAATGAGAGCAGAAAAAGGGCGTGAGATGTCCGGCTTCGGTTGTAAGCTTTACAATGGTTCAGAGGCAGAGAAGGTAACTGGTCCTGGGCAAAGGAGCTGAAGTGGTACTACAGTCTCCTGCTTGCTTGAAGTTGTTAGCTAAGCACTTGCAAAGAGAAATTCCAATATTCCTAGCAAAGCCAAATATTATTAAAGAGAAAAATCTGAACTAAAAACGCTAAGACCTGGACAAAGCCAGGAATGGATACGGCTGCTCGAGCCCACTCTGTTGTAAGTGCGAGAGGCTGCTTCTGCCATGCCTGTGAACAGGAAAATATCCTTTCTTGTAGCTTTTGGATTAAGGAGTTTGTCTTCCACCAAACTTGCTCTGAAAGAAGTCTAGAAGAAAATCTTGGTGGTGTTTTTCACTTAATCGATCTTGTTAAGGCATGTGAGATGGGGGGAAAAAAGATCAGATTACACAAGTGGAAAGTGTGACAAGGAAATCACCGCAGTGACTTCAGTGGGTGACTAAGACCCTTGCAATCCCCAACAATGTATTAGGTCAAGTAAAGCAAAAGAGAAATAAAACATGCAAATTCTACATTAGAAGTGTGACCTGTAGCTGAATTTCCTGTCTGTAAGGTGTGGAGCAAAACGAAAATCCAACCCAAATGCTTTTTTCTGAGTGAGTTTATTTGTTTATGAAATGCCATGAGGGCGAAATGCATTGCCGGAATCCTTCCCGGAGGATTACAAGGTGGATTTATTTCAGAAAGGAAGAAAGGAAGCCTCTGGTTTTCTGAATTACAGATTCTGTTTCCCTTTTAAAAGGCTGAAGTGCCTAAAGTGTTAGAGATAAGCTCACACCCATAATTTGCATCTTTTCACACACAATACACAGAATGAAGGTGATGTTTCTTTCAAAGGTCTTCTGGATCCACACTTTGAAGTGTACTTGGTAACTCAGAAATCCTACTTTTGCAAAAAGGAAACCCAGTTTCACTTACATTGTCTGAGGTCTGTACTTGTCGTGCCTAAGAACTCTGCCAATACTTTATTTAATTGCATAATCCATGGCAATCCTCTGCTCCTGTTTTTTAAAGGGTATATATTCTTTAACAAAATTACAATATTAATCACTCGGTTCTCAAGGCCTTTAAACTAACTTTCCT